AGGACGGCTTAGCAAAGTGGTTACTGCGATTGATTAGAAATCAATTCCTCTCTGAGGGCGTAGGTTCGAGTCCTACAGTCGTCGTATTTTGTTTGGTGTTAGGAATTTTGCATGTGTTCTCTATAGAGTCAGATTCGGTTGAACGGACCTGTCTCTTGGTGTCTCCATATCTCGCTGGATCTCTCAGATAATGTAGCACGCAGCGATTGACCACACGGCGCAGGATCAGGCAAAAGGTCCAGCCGTATCTGAGGGATCCGAGTGCCACCACATGGAACAAATGCACACCCGACGGTTTGAATACATATTTTTGTTGTCCATTTGAATCTCTACACACGAAACAGAGAATGAGATGCACAACCGGATAAGCGACGACACAACAAAAATATAATACACCAACCAAGGAGCGCGTTGTGCACCACGCACCTGGCTGGCCAATGATCGGTTGGAAGTTGAATAAATAAATAAAATGAACGAGGGTTATTTCAAGTGTCAGTGCCCAGCTATGAAAAGTCGGGAGACCATTGTTTTGAGCCAATAAGTCTCACCACACAAGGGAACTTTCCAATGTATGCTAGTACGGATTATACAACTAGGACTTCTCTATGACATGAATGAGACGGAAGAGCTGTAAAGCTCCAGCGAAGGCTACGGGGGAGGGGAAGTGAACGGGTGGATTGGCCGCCCAGATAATGACTAGAGCGGCAGCTTAGCTGTGAGTTGGAGGCCATAGGACATGCCATTCTGAGCGCTCTTGCAACTTGAAGCAAAAGAAAATACTTGCTGGTTGTGGAGATACCAGGAACACATCCCGGTGTATTTGGCATGTTTTCAATAAATCAAATTAAAACTGGGTGTCCCGAAATGCTCATATCTCCACAACCATTAAGTCTTTTCTTTTGTTTCAAGTTACAAAAGCACTCAGAACGGTGTGCTCCATCGCCTCCAACTCACAGCTAAACCGTCGCTCTCGTCTTCATCTGGGCGGCCAATCGACTCATTTACCCCCCTCCCCCTCTACCCTTTTCCGGGGCATTTACAGCCCATGTGCCTCATTCATATTATAGAGAGTTCCTAGTTGTACAATTCATACCAGCATATATTAAAAAGTTCTCCCGCGTGGCGAGATTTATTAACCCAAACACCTTGACTCCTGACCTTTCACAGCCACGAGTAATTAACAAGGACGGCTTAGCAAAGTGGTTACTGCGATTGATTAGAAATCAATTCCTCTCTGAGGGCGTAGGTTCGAGTCCTACAGTCGTCGTGTCTTTTGGCACCGGGTTTTTTGCCTGCGCCCTCGGTTATTTTTTCTACCCTCCAAATTCGGTTGAACTGATAAGTCTCTTGGTGTCCTAATCTCTTAGATAGGGGCACGCAGCGGGTGCTTTGCCGATCTCGAGGAGGTTGGCCACGCGGTGCGGGACCGAGCAGGGGGTCCAGTCTTATCTGAGGGCTTCGTCTGAATCGTTTGCGAATGCACACTCGACAGTTTTGAATACACATTTTTGTTATCCATTCGAACCTACTACACACGAAGCTGAGCAAGAGGAGATACACAACCCGATAGACGATGATACAAAAACAAAAGTATAATACACCGAGCAAGGAGCGCGTTACACACCACGCGCCAGGCCGGTGATCAGTTGGAGGTTGAAAAAAAGGAATAAAAGGAGGGTTGTTTCAAGTGCCCAGGATTGATATACATGCATGCCACGAACGAGAGAGAAGTAATAAATCAGCAGAACGAGATTGTACGAAGATGCCGAAGGAAAAAGGTTGTTTTATGCTTGGGTGCGACGACCATAATTGGAGAATGGCGCCTCGGTGATGGGGGAGGAGCCTTCTGGGATCGACGACGTATCCGACTGGGTCGACCGTTCGAGGATGATTGGCTGAGTTCGCGCGGGGAGTGTGTCAAGGTTGGCCGGTTTTGACGGAGAAGCAGCCGCCGTGGGACGAGAATAGTTGTTGTAGTCCTCGGTGCCGATCGTAGCAGGGAAGGAGAGCGTATCGGTGGTAGCGGTGGTAGTCGCCTTGTAATCACTGGTGGTGGGGAACGACGGGACGGTGTAGTCAAACGACTCGGTGTGGGCCTCTTTGGCTTCGCGCGGGGCGGGGGCCTCGACGTCGCCGGGGAAAGTCTCGTTGATGCGCGCACGCTCCTTGGGGAGGTTCCAGCGGTAGTCGGTGATAGGGAGGGCAAAGACGCTGCGGCGCCGGGACAGGAACCGGATCGATACGATGGTGTGCCAGGTCATGTGCAAAAGGACTGTCAAGCATGTCAATACGGCTATTCCTCGAATGGATAAAATTAAATACGCACAGACACACATGATGGCGGCGAGGAGACCAGACATGCCGCGCCAGTTGCTGCAGATGGACGTCGCTGAGTTTATGGCGGTAAACTTGCCGCTGGGGTCGATGGTCGCGTCGACGCCAAACTGAAAGTCGCAGACGGGTGGGCGGGAGGACACCATGAGGCCGAGACAGACGGTCTCGCCAATGACGGACATGGACATCCAAAAGAGCTCGAACCAGACGGGTGCGCTGCGCTTGAACTGGGGCTCGGCCACGAGGTGGAGGGCGATGAAAGCGGCGACGGCGACGTTGTAGTACATGATGCCGCCGACGTATCGGTGGATCACTGCCGGAAATGGGTTAGAATGTGCAGAGCGGATAGCGGCGGGACTTACTGTTGTACGAGGTCTCGACGGGGATGTCTGGAGACGGCGTGTAAAAAGAGTCGGGAAAGAGCTTGGTCTGGGGGTTGGCCGGGAGCGTGAACGACGCGCACATGAGCATGGCCGTGACTGGATAAGGCAATCAGCGGGGGAAATGAATCACAAGCACGAGACATACTGAGTGTGCCATGGCGGAACTGGAGGTGGTACCCCTTGGGCTCAAACGACGGGAAGAGGGTCTGGCGAACGGCCCAGAGACGGCGGGCAAACGAGTTGGAGGCAGCCATGGTTGTGAGTTGGAGGTGGAGCTAGCAGACCAGCGGTACAATAGGCGCACGGTGAGACACTGTGATCGGGGGCGGGAGGGGGGGGGAGTCTGAAGGAGCATGGCGGCGAGCAGCACTATTTAATCGTCCGCGGCGCGTTGGACCTCCGCGACTATTGTACGCCGACAATTGTGGATGAGCGACCGACTCTGCTCTGCTGTTTGTCCACCTCGGCTTCTCATGGTCCCAGACAATAGCCTCCGGATGCAGATTCCCGATCCGGTCGCCGGATCGCCACCCGCCACGCCCCAGATGACGGCCCAACACCTGCTCTCCTCTCGCGTTGACCATTTCCAGTCGTCCGAGATGATCTCAGGGACGCACACGTTGCCTGCAGAACACCCGCTCGACACCACTCTGGCCTCGGCCATCGCTTGGACCTACAATAAGCTTCACTCTCGAGGAATCTCGAGCACTGCTTCTCTGTCTGTGCACGATGGGACGAAATGTTACCACTCCTTTCTCCCAGATTAGTTGGCGGCTTGGGCCTGGGAGCGCTGTGATTCGGCGGGATGATGGCACAGCACGCCAGGAACAGGTATGCATTTGTTTGGTTCCTGGCCCAGAATGTCAAGATATGAATGACATCGATAGAAGATACAACTAGCCTGAGGTAACCCAGCGATAAGAAGAATGGTAGAAAAGCAGTGTGGCAAGAGTGAACGTTCTTCATCCCGAATATCCACTGAAACTGACTAGTCAAAGGGATGGGTCGCGTTCTCTGGTGAGTTGACGTCAACTCTATGCACCTAATTCACGGTCAATCTATCTTTGATTCCATATAACAAGCTTTTCGCCCCACTCGGTCATAACACCGCATACAAACGGTTCCAGACCTCACGAAATTCCTTTCTGCCGTTGTCGTAACCGCAGCCGCGCCGCCTCCCGTTCACGATGCGAGTACCCGTTGATTTTCGTCTACCGAGCTACTGTCCGCTACTCGCCACCACCGTTCCAAACGCCTCGATGCCGCAGTCGCCCAGAAACGAGTCGCGGGCGTTTTTATGACTTGGATATAGGTTCGCCCCCTGGATGTATGTGTACTTGTCATGAATACACTTCTTATATGCACAGTGAATCAGCGTACCGAGATCGTCGGACTCGAGACATCCAATTCACCACCGTTGGATACGGATAATGGGGCCGAGCAGAAGGACACAAATGTTGGTTCGCTCTTTCTCAGATTTGACTTCCTATATCTTTTCGGGCGGGCTACGAGCCGTATTGGTCGCTGTCATCTCTCGTGCGAGCTGAAGTTCATGGACATAACAGAAGTGGTGGAACTGCGAGCAACATCCAGGATGGCGGTCCTTGGATTAGGATACTTTGGTCCAAGGCGCAGAACTGCCCGGGAGAATGGCTTGCAGCGACAAACGTACCCTTTGGGACGCTCTTTGCTCGCTTGTGTTTCAGTTTTATCGGCACACATTTATAGTCCAGTTCTTGATGGTTTTGTCTTCCAACTGAATCCCAGATCATTCAAATAAACATAACGAGCAACCCAGGTACAAGATCTTGAATCAAAAATAGGATCCTGGTCGTAATGACAAGCAAAAAACGACGACTGTAGGACTCGAACCTACGCCCTCAGAGAGGAATTGATTGTAATCACCTGATTCGAATCAATCGCAGTAACCACTTTGCTAAGCCGTCTTGTTTATCACGTCTCGGGTAAAGACCATGTCTGGAATTTAGAACTACCTACTCGGTGCTGGGGGAATCCCGGTGGCCGGATTTCTCGTCCCTCGCCAGAAAACCTAATCCCGATCTTGACATGTATGCTCCTCGGGTCTCTTGGACCTACTTGCCAAACCTCAGGTTGGATGGTTGGGGGCTGCCGGAGCTACCCTAGCCCGACAGTTTTGGCTAGTCGAGGCCACAGTCACATTCGGGTGTGCTGATACGATGTTATAGCCTTAATGGATTGGCAGCTCTCGAAACTTGCAGGATCGATCTTGGCCGCTTGTTTTCTGGCCGATGAGGAGCGTTCAGCATTTTGTCCTCTCACCGTGGGTGTGGCTTTAATACGATGCAGAATAATTATACATTTGACTATACACACTACATTGTCACTGGCGTGCTATCCCAGGTCGTCGTTCACAGACACGCCCGACCAAACGAAACACCTACATCCCTTCGATCATGCTTCAGTTTTGGTACGCCTTGGCCAAAGGCACTTCAAAGCTCAACTCCTCGACGGGGGTCTTGGGCATGTCATCCTCCTCGCCCCCGCTCGAGACGCCTTGGTCGGATAGAGGCGGCGGGGTGTGTGGTGGCAGCGCGTCGGGACGAGCATATACCCCGTCGGGCGAGGCAATAGCTACTAGCTCCGAGTGCGAAATTACACGAAGCTTTTGGGAGGGTGGAACCGCCTTTTCGGATTCGAGTTCAAGGCCGCCGTGGAGGACGCCGACGCGCATCATAGCCAGGAGCTAGTTGAGGTGTAGTGAGTTTACGGTGGTAATTTTGAGTATGGTCAACTCACGTTATGCGCTGCGTTCGAGTGGTCGTATACGCCTCCAAAGAACGCTGTCGTCGCGTCCCTGCCAATGTTTTTGGACAAGAGATGCCGTCCGCCTGGGTGTTCGTCCATAAACGACGACACATCGTGGATAAAGCCGGAGATGAGCACGAGATTGCGTTCCTTTGCGAGCGATTGGACTATCTCGGAATTCAGCTTGCGCATATAGTTACAATGATACAGGGTCAACTCACATTCATCCCATCCGATGACCGGCAAGTCGTTGGAGCTCTTGGGCCACTGCATTTTCTCCGAGCGAGCCTTGATGCGCTGAAGCTCCATAGTCATCTGCCCTTTCTTCACCTCGTTATCCGGAAAGACCTTCAGATGACTCGCAAGCCCAAGCCATGACATCGCGGTAATAAACCATTTCGTGGGGTCGTACTGGTACCACTTGATAGCGTTACGGTAATCCATGGGGAACTGATGGTGAAAGTTGTGGTAGCCCTCGCCCAACGTAACCAAGGCGGTTATCATATGATCTCGCGGGGTGTGCTTGTCGTCGAATGACCTTTCCCCGAGCCAGTGAGCCAGAGAATTGACGCAGAAGGTGGACTGCATGGGACGTGTGAGTTTGAGTTGTAGACAGCGACAAAACTACTCACATGGTGGACGAAAAAGAGGCGAGCCGCACCAGCGTAAAAGTATCCGCCCCGCCAGTCTCCCCAAAACAATCCAGGAATAAGGGTGGGGATACCAAAGCTCACGGCGAGGATCAACGAAAGGTACCAGCGGT